TAGCCCTGGTTGGTGAAGTAGGTTTATAGCTGTTACCCGCCAGATTAAATAAAGGCCTATTATTATTAATCTCGAGTACTCCTGCTATCTAAGCTCACCGCCTGGCGAACCGGCCCGGCTGACTAATCTATCCCTACTACTGGGCAAAAAACATATACACGGAACCATGGACGAAATGAACGATACGTCGCGGTAACGATGCCGCGCGCGCAGATGTGGAAAGGGACAACGTTGCCAGATCAACTGTTACTATCGGTAGGGTAGGGAAATAATATCTATGGGCCTGTTTGACTGACTTGATCCATCTAATTTCTTTCTCACATAATTTAATTCGCGCTGAACTCAATTCTTCATGAATTGATGACGGCTTTCCGTAGGAAATGCGGACTCAACCTACTTGACGTCATTCGTTTTAATTGATTTTGCTCTCAGGTGTATCTGCTGCAGCGTTTGTCATTCACAACCTGTCCGACTTAAAATATTCCTTATTATGCATATCTATTTATGCGGTTATGCGGTCGGGCTGGCCTACGCACATTCCATGTTCATTCATGTTAGTTTCGGCGATTGATTCTAATTAGAGGTGCGTGTGTGTGTGAATGAAAAGATAGTAGCAGAGAAGCGGTAGATTGCGACACAAGCCGCGAACGATGTCAGAAGCTCGACACATCGCGTTTTGGTGGTGGGCAGGTGAGAGTCTCCCACTACGGGTCACATTATAGACAAGGTAAAAACGTTGATTCAGAACTATACATTTTCACCAAATGACCAACGTTTTTTTCACTGAGATTCATCAGCTTAATACCCAAAATAACGATTTTTACCGACAACATGAAAGGAAAACACCAAAGATCGGTAGCCATTAAGTCAAAGGATGGAAATACACTAACGGAAGAAAAAGACATAAAGGAAAGATGGAAGGAATACTTTTACTTTTAAATGGAGGAACTAGTACCCTTCCCACTTCAGTTGGCCCTACTATTGAAATCTTAGTTTTTTTCTTATCAAACACAAATAATAAAAATGTAGCAGGGCGTTATAGGTTTAAAATATTAACAATGAATATTTTGATAATATATAGTAGAAAATACCAACTTTATCACTCACTAATCAAATTTGCAGCTTAAAAATAACACATGTTGCAATTACAGCATATCAACCTATTTTCATTCCAATGCAAAATAAGCCTATAACGCATAGATGGCTGTGAAAAATAAAAGCCATGACAATTGTTTTTATTAATCACAGGTGTCAGAATACGTTTAAAATAGTTTTAGGTAGTTAAGGTTTTCAAAATGGGTAGACGAAAGGTTATTAGTACAAGCGTTGTTCGTTCGTAAGTCGATTCATGGTTAAATTATAGACCAAACTGAACAAGTTTGACAATGACACAAGACACGATTCACGCGTCATCTGTCAAAAACAGTGTTGCCAAAAAGATACTAGCAAAAAATCACCCATTAGTTTGGGACTATGGACTAATGTGCCTGTTCGACTGACTTGACCATTTAATGTTTTTGTCATACATGTTCCTATCTAACTTTACTATATTATAAACATGAGAGCATTGCGTGGAAAGCACAGATTCAACCCCTACCTGACGCTGTTTTTTCCACTGAGTTGAACATTTTTTCATTTTGCAGGATTTTTTATTTGAATCATCTCATTTTTGAATGGTCACTCTGTAAAATGACAATACACCGTTGAGGTGCAGTCGACCGTTGATCCATATGTGAAAAACGTCGAAGTACCGTTTTTATGGCGAGTCGAGGTACCGCGTCTTCTTTGGGTGACCCACATTGATGGTAAAACCACAACCATCAACGAAACGAGAACCATTCATCTCGCTACTAATCAATTAAAGTAGTAGGAACTTGAATTTGGTGGAAACGCTTTAAAGCTTTATACGACGTACACATTGTAAGGCTTGAATGCAATATCTGCTTTTGAAATCATTGCCGTCATATTATATTGATAAATAAAAAAAGCCAAGTAGGTTGATTCTGCACTTCCCGGGCAACGCTGTCATCATGTCATGAACGACTGTGTTCGACCCAAATTAGTCTCTTTGAACTAGATGCAAACACCTATAACAAAAAAATGTCCAGTCAGTCAAACAGGCAAATTTACAATTAGTATATACTCCATAGTCCCCATCCATTTGATAATGCTAACCCTAGTTCCTTCCCTACTCTAAGTATCGGCCATCTGGCAACGCTGCTGGACCATACCAGTCAAATGCGTCATAAGCACCTGCCACGACGCTATAAGATTCCTGTCGGCGATGCTGTCAAATGCAAGGCAGGGTTCGACGTATGAAGATCGGCGTTGCATCGTATCGTCCTGACCAATCGCGAGTCGCGTCTGTAGATATTACTATTAAGTTATACGGAGAAATCTGACCTGTGAAATATGCAAGTCGTCGGTGGTAAATACTATAACAGCGTCGGATTTCGATTGGCGATCTAGCCCTAATAATCCCCATTATATACTAAGTGACATATAAATCCGAACACCCAGTTTAAATGGTTTTATTTTAATAAAATTTTGTATAAGTACTTAATGAAGCATAATAAGTAAATGATAAAAATTTCAAAATGATTGCACTGCTTTAAAGCCCTTTGACCTTTAATAATGTGTGGATGCACCCTGATGTGCTACGCATTCTCCAACGCGCCTAGGCATGCTTCTGATCAGGTGGTCAATGTCCTCCTGTGGTATCTCATTCCAGGCAACCACCAACTCCTCTCGAAGTGCTTCTAGAGTCTGAGGAGGACGTTGCAAATTGAGCAATCTTCTACCCATCATATCCCACACGTGCTCAATTGGGGATAAGTCGGGAGATCTTGGTGGCCATGGTAACAAGGTGACATCATTATGTTGAAAGAAGTCTATTGTGACTCTTGCAACATGTGGCCGGGCATTATCTTGTTGGAAAGTTGGATCTGCCAGGGTGTCAAGATAGGGTAAAAGATGGGGTTCTAGAACTTCGTGTATATAACGCTGCGCGTTCATGTTACCTCTGATGAAGATTAAAGGTGACCTGGAACCATAAGCTATAGCACCCCAAACCATAACTCCAACAGTGTGATGAACATGTCTTTCAACAAAAAACTGTGGATTCCTCCTTTCACCACGTCGCCTTCTAACCCTTGCACGACCATCGTGCATGCCTAAACAAAATCGAGACTCGTCACTAAAGACAATACTGTTCCATTCCTGATCCCAGAGTGACCGTTGTCTGCACCACTCAAGGCGATTACGTCGGTGTTCTCGAGTTAAAGGGAGGACAGAGTGTGGCCGGTATGAAAACAAGCCAAAACTTCTCATTCGTCGGTAAACACTTCGCATGCCAATAGGTGTTCCGTGTTCTGCAAACCATTCATTTGCAATGGACCTGGTAGTGGAGAAACGGTCCCTTAAGGCCAATAATCTTAGGCGGCGATCTTCATGGTCTGTTGTTCTACGGCGGCGTCCAGTGCCCCTTGCTCTTTGCGTACGGCCTTCTCGAAGCCATGCCTGACAACACCTAACCACAGTGTCTACACTTCTTTGCACTCTAACTGCAATTGCCCGAAAAGAAAGTCCAGCTTCCCGAAGTCCCACTATACGGCCCCTATCAAACTCACTAAGTTGACGAAATCGTACAGGTCGCCGTACTCTAGGCATCGTAACCGATCGTAAAGGATGTCAAGAACCAAAATCCGCCAACGTTGATTCTTTACTGCGGCTGAAATATTCATTTTTAGAGCGTTAGTGAATTAAAAAAAAGCAGTATAAAAACCGGAATGTCCAACTGATAAGGCTGAAAATTTTTTCACTTGTTATTTACAGTAAGATAAATACATTCACCAACTTTTATTAAAATAAAACCATTTAAACTGGGTGTTCGGATTTATATGTCACTTCGTATAAATATTCGAATTTATTCTTCGCTTCTGTCGGCAGTTGCAGATCTGTTGGCTCGCGATGTCAAACCTATAATGCAAGAACCGATTTTTTCAAATCTTGAGCAGACTCTTCGTCGGATTTTCGTCGCTTAAATTTCCTATAATTACTGAGTTCAGAAGCTTCTTAATAATAGAACGTGTTTCACATATCAAATCCACTTTTTAAGCACCACATTTTTTTTTATGACAATGATTAGAAACCCCTGAAACCGGTTCTGAAAATATTAATTAATTTCCATTTTTTCCTAAAACTGCATCACCTCTAGTTTTTGTAACGAAACATTTTTGGACCATAGTTTATCTATAGAGCAAACTAACATTAATTTTTAATGTAGATTCCACCCTTAAATATTCGCATATCATTAAGGAACACCCTGTAAGTTATATAGGGCCACCAAATTATCTGAATCCGTAAACACCGCTGCGTTGCTTATGCTGGCAGCACGAAACAGTAGACAAAATATGTGCAAAATTATATTTGTAGAGGTATGCGCGCTTCGAAACTGACGCTTCATTTTTCAATATTTCCGAATAAAATTTTCACAGCATGCTGATAACAAAATCCTACAGGGTGCTGTCGAGCCACTTTTTCATTTTTTCCACTAGGCTCGTTTTAAAAAAATCGCGAAGTTCAACAAAAAAGTAAGCATTTCAACGCACCATAAATCTTGTGCAAAAACAAAATTTTGAAAAATGCTGCGATAACACCATGAAAAACGGAGTGTCAGTCTCGAAGCAGATGAACCCTTGTAAATGGCTTGAAACTCACTGAGTCGGAGCCACCTTAAGCGATCATTTTTCGTGTTTTTGCTCCTAGCTCCGCCTATCCCCCCTTTCGGCAAAATTTGCTACCCTCCCCCCTTTTCAGAAACTTATCTCTTGCCGATGTTTTGAGTAAAAAGATACGGATTCATAATCAAAATTTAGATAGTTGTTTTATTAAAAAAAATATATATATATATATATTATATGAATATATTAAGATAGTTTCTCATGCTGTTAGGAGAAAGCCTGTGTGCCCTGTTGTGAAATATCTATTTTCTTTTCCAGGAAAAATAGAATTCTAATCTTCTTAGGACTTGCATCTACAGTCTATTGTGAACGAGAACATAAGGTATAGTTTGTAATCAAAATTAGGAACTTAGATTTTAACTTTCCAGAAACCAATGATATGATAAATCAGTTTTTATTATATTTAAATACAGGGTGTTTCAGTTTATTGTTGCATAACTTTAAGATTCGATAGAACTTTTAAAATTAATGCATAAAGTCTATATAAACATGGGTCGAAAAATGCGTGGCTTCCGAAATACAGGGTGTTTAAATTTCTTTTCTAAAATAGTTTTTTTTTAAATATTTCGAAGAATATTCGATGTATAACAGTGAAAATTGGTATACAAGGGTTTTTTGGTACGACAAAACGAACCATGGGCATAGTTTTACTGTAGTCGCTAGAGGGCGCTCTCTACTGTACCTGTAGTGTATTAAAATGACCGAAAATTTTTTCTTAGTGCAATTTTTTGCTTTTTGAATAAAAAAACTGATTCTTCGCACTTTTCAACATAAAAAAGCTCTCCTGTGAGTTTTCGTTATAGTTAGCCGATTTTGAGATATTTCGATTTTTAAGGTTCGATGCATTTTTAATTATTTATGGGAAAATAATATTTTTTTACATTTTCGATTTGGGCATTACAAGTAATTAAGTAATTAAGATTGTGTTTTTAAACACAGCAATAATTCCTAACTCCAAATAAACACAGAAAAACAGAATATTAATTTGTTTAATTTTCCAATATTATTTTTAACAAATTAAATTAATTATTTACAACTAAAATGCTATTGGATAGTTAGGACAAACATACATGCATTCCTGATTCTGTCTATTAGCATATCTCTTGTGGTTACGGGAGTCTGGTACACTTTTTCTTTTAGAAATCCCCACACAAAGAAATTTAATGGATTTAGGTCAGGGGATCGTGGAGGCCAGGCGACTGGTCCTCCACTGCCGATCCATCTTTCTGGATAATTTTCGTCCAGCCAGTTTCTAACTATTCTCGAATAATGAGCTGGAAGCAGGCCAATCTTCTTAAATCTAACATAACATCATCCCACATATTTGCATGTTCAGCCTTTAAAAATTCCAAGAAGGTCGCAGCATTTAACCTTGCAGGCAAAAGGTAGGGTCCAAATAGTCGATTACGGTAGATACCAATCCACACGTTCACACTAAATTCATGCTGAAAATTTCTTTCTCAAACTGCATGCGGATTTTCATGCGACCAAATATGTTGATTATGAAAATTTACCACTCCACGACGAGTGAAGCATGACTCATCGGTCCATAAAACGTTACTTAAAAACTCCCTATTATTGTCAGTTCTATCAAGAATCCACTGACAAAATGTGGTTCTTCGTTCTCCGTCCCCTGGCTGTAGTCCTTGCACAGGTTGCAAATGGTAAGGAAGTCTATGGTCATTTCTAAGAACACGGTGAACATGGCTTGCTGAAATTCCCAAGGCACCAGAAACTCTCCTAACACTTGTGGTCGGATCTCTATCAAACTCACGCAGAATCATACGGGTAAATCTGCGCTGACGAACAATTATGTTTTGATCCCTTTGGAGATTCCCAAAACCATTTTCAATTATTTGGCGATGCACTCTTACAAATACCGAGCGAGTTGGATGTCGTCTGTTTGGAAATCTTCGTGCGTATTCTCTGGCTGCTTCTGCTGCGTTTCCATTTACAAAGCCATACACAAAATGAATATCCGCTAACTCTTGATTGGAGAATAAAAATGGCATTTTTAAAAAACTTACAAAAAAAACAGGTAAAAGAAACTAAATTTCGTGCATTCACAAATGCAAAAAAACGTTTCAGGTTTCAACAGACAACAAAACTAACTGTCAACTAATTGACGTTTAACCTTATTCTGCTCTCAATTTCAAAAATATCTGCAGGCACAGCCTACTTCTAAAAATTATCGAGATACTTACTTTTTAACGTTATTTTATCATAAATAATTAAAAATGCATCGAACCTTAAAAGTCGAAATATCTCAAAAACGGCTAACTATAACGAAAATTCACAAGAGAGCTTTTTTATGTTGAAAAGTGCGAAGAATCAGTTTTTTTATTCAAAAAGTAAAAAATTGCAAAAAAAATTTTTCGGTCATTTTAATACACTACAGGTACAGTAGAGAGCGCCCTCTAGCGGCTACAGTAAAACTATGTATACCCTAGTATACCAATTTTCACTGTTATACATCAAATATTGTTCGAAATATTAAAAAAAAACTATTTTAGAAAGTAAATTTAAACACCCTGTATTTCGGAAGCAACGCATTTTTCGACTCATGTTTATATAGATTTTATGCATTAATTTTAAAAGTTCTATCGAATCTTAAAGTTACGCAACAATAAACTGAAACACCCTGTATATTGAAGACCTGAACCTAAACTAGTTGCTCTCATCCGCAGGTTCACAATATCGTCCTATATCCCGAAAAGCATTCCTGGTGCCAGATCACCCCAATCCAACAAATCGTTGGCTCTCCTGGGTATGAACCAGTAACTATCGACAACAACGTTTGTGTGGGGGCGTGTTACAGCTACTCCATCCCCAAAACGCAACCCGCCGAACCGGGAGAACTCATCGGTCCATACTGTGACAGCTGTCAACCCGCGGAGATCAAATGCTACCATGTCAACCTGCGAAGGTGCCAATATAGACTTCTATGAATACTTGATGATCGAATGCATTCATTTACTCAAGGTCTCCTTATTTATCGTCGCCTTGACCAAGGAATTCAGACTAAACTGTATCCATCGAAGAAACAAAGTAAAATCAAACATATACACCCGTATTGCACGTGATCAAGAACTTAACCGTAGGAGACGCTACAGGGCCGTATCAAGCTATTGTGACTGATCTATCAAAAAATGTCGTACAAGATATATGTTGCTGTCAATTCTATCAAAAGCATAGTAAATTATCAGGAATACCACGCCTTTCTAATCATATTTCGACATTAGGAATCAGTGCAAAAAATTCTGTATTCACCATTTCAGCAAAATGTTACTAAAACGCACATAAAAAAACTTGTGGACCATCTCAATTGAAATTGTTCATATTTTATTATTAACTTACATATATACCCAATAATATTTACAAATCAACCTTCTATTCACAATGCAGAGCAAATTTTTTTGAGCAAATAGAAACTACAGACGTAGTAGTAGTAGTACAAAAGTTTATTACAGACTCCATAAAGTGTGTTAGTTTGATTGCTATTAAAATTTACATGAGAAATAGGAAGAAGGTCAAAATGGCACTATTATGCTTTGGAACTCCTAAATTAACCCTAATTTTGTGTAATTATAAATTTGGAATTTCCACATTAATAACTAGAAACTTACACTTTGATTGCAGTCTATAATGAACTTACCTGTCTTGCCAAAAAGCCCGTTAAACTGCCAGTCTTAATGGTATCAATCGATTTATATGCTGTATTCCGAGGAGCTTGAATCATCAGAATTGTTGATGTCAATTATAAGGGGTTCAACTTGGGTGTCAATGATATTGTCCATATCCCACATTTTGGTTTCAACCTTCACTTGGACATGGTCAATACATGTTCTCCATTTTGCTGGCGTGATTCTATCGACAGCAACATCAAACAGTTTTTTAAGGTCAGAAAACTGTTGTTTGACGCCACGTATTGCTTGATGTCGGCCCAAATCAACTCGATAGGATTCAGTTCGCAGTGATAGGGAGGCAGCCTGAGAATCGTTTTATTTTGGTTTTTGGCCATTTCGTCAACAATTTTTAAATCATATTTATACTTATGTCGCTTGACTATATTTATCAGCTCAGCTTTGACCATTGTTTGGTCGAAGTCGATCTTCTTTGAGACAAGCCACTGTTGAATGTCTGCCTTTTTGGTGGCCATTGTTGGAATTTTTTCCAATTTTCTGGAGTGGTACGGGGCATTATCCATCACAATAATTGCGTTATCATCAAGTGTCGGCAAAATTTTTTTGAACCAATTTTCAAATGAGTTACCATCCATTTCTTCGTGATAGTCTCCAGTTTTTTTGGATTCAAATGCCCACAATGCTTCAGGAACAAATCCATCTACGCTACCTATGTGGCAAATGATCAGGCGTTTTCCCTTGCCTGAAAGTAATTAGTTATTTTACTTCTCAGCGAGCGCACTAAATGACGAAATTAAGCAACTTACTCTTTTTAGGTTAGTGTAGGATAGGGTCTTAGATTAGTTTTTGGGTGAAGGAAATACTCAGAAACTTGGATGAGATAGCAAAACTGAGTTCGGAGCTTCCAAATCATTGATTCGATCAGAAAATGAATTATCTGCATCCAAAAAGTTCATATACTTCGAAACTTACCTGCAGGATTTTTCAATCCCGTCGAAAGGCCATCTAAAAAAGCCTGCCTTGAGGACCTCACAGATCTGTCTACCCAAACCTTTTCCTGCGTATGCCCCGCGTTCACCCATGTTTCGTCTAAATAATACATTTTTCTTCCTTCAGCGCGGAATTGCCTAATTTTTCTAAGGTATTCTCTCCTCCAGATAACAATTTCCTTCTTTTCGATCAATAAACTATTCCTTCCTCTTTTCAAAAATCGAAAGTCTAGTTCTTTCAACAGCTTATGGAACGTAGATCTTTTAAAATTTGGCAGGTCCTCATCATCATTCACTTGCTTCAATATTTTACCTATTGTAGGTATTTCATTCCTGAAGAAAAAGTGATGTACTTTTCTTCTAATGGCACTTTTGTCAAAGTCATCTATTTTTTCGATGATTTTTTTTCTCGCTGGATATGTTTTTGGCTCAGATAGTGAGTGATTTTGTCTATATTCCTTCAAGATTTTGTAAACACTTGATCGACCTACTCCAGAAATTTCAGCAACCTTACATACGATATTTTCTATAGCCAATCCACTATTCTCTTGCATCTGGTTCTTGTAGATATTTAGAATAATTTGTTTTTCACCTGCGCTAAGATGAAGCTTTTTAGCCCTTTTGCTGGGTGGCGTTAAGCTGATTTCAACCACTTCATCAGCTGTATCTGTGTCAGACATTTTAGACTAATATTAAATTTCCGCAAGAAAAATCAAGTCAAGACGTGCATAAAACGTTCGCGCTCATAAACGGGTTTCCGTAACTGATTACAATCCTGTGCGTGGTGACGAACCATCAACGTGACGCTGAGAGTTCCCTCTACTATGCAGCGTTGCCAGGCTTAATGTCACAATGATAATGTTTTATTGGGAAAATTGTCAGAAATCGCCGAATGTTGAACAGAAACATTACAAGAAGTCTAACCTTGAAATATGAGGCTACAAATCGATATTCTTATAGGGGGGAAGGGTAGGGAGCTGTTATGGTTCCTATTAACCTTGGTGAAAGTTGGAAACGGTAATATCATATATGGCATACATTCGGTTGAAGGTGTGTGCACGGAAAATAGATTGCGGATAGGATTTTAATAGATAAATCTGCACAAAAAAACACAAAAGGAGATTTTTGTATTTCCCTGAAGAATATCTCAAGGTTATTTCAGATGTACTCATCGAAACTTTATGGAAGGATTATCGAAACCTTATTTTCAATTGCGATAGGGCCACATACCTCGACATCGCATTAATGTGAAAAATAAGACAATAGAAAAAAATTCCCTCACTGATGCAATCTCTTAGGAAAAATTTAACTATAAAGATTGCACAAAAATTTTCTTCACCTTTTTGAGCTTGTTTTCGCATCTCCGTATATGCCGTTCATAATTTGCTGCAGATCAAATTGGAATATAACATACCTTTGTGATGCCATTTATTGTTATATAATGTCCTTTACAACAGTTATTGCACGTATTGCACCAACAGATTGATTTGTGATCCATGCGAATGTGATCAACCACTCTGGCGAAAACTCGCCGAGCGTGGCAACCGTGCGACTTTGTCTGGAGGCTCGTCGCTACAAGCCAATCAGGAAGAGGCCGACAGAGCGCCATAGCTACCGATCACGCGTTGATCACGAATCAACCACTGTTTACGATTACTTTGTAGCTTCGTTAGATACACTTTAGGTAGAAGGAGCCACTTTCCTTATTCTCATAGTCTTGACATAAGTCAATTTTATAACAGCTCTGTCATTAAATTTGCAAAAGTGCGAGTGTTGGACGATTTCAAAACGTGCTACTTCTTACATAATTTGCAAATAGCAGCACAACCCTAATGGAGGTGGACGTTTTCATCGGTAAGTATTATTATGTTGATGCAACGCTGTCACTTTGGTAGGCATTGGTAGACAAATGAGTCAAAAGTATACATTAGAACTAAGCAAATTGGAGACAAGCAATGCAATGTACAGGGTGACTTCGAAGTTCAGTCATTTATTTTAACAGTGAGTAGATCTGATCAAAAGAAATGTTTTTTTCCTTTAACATTTTTGTGGTAAAATTAAAGTAACAAAGTTATAGCCCTTTAGAAGTTTGAGTACCGCCCTGTCTCAATTATAATATTATGTGCTCGTGTTTGGCAACAACGGATATAATCCGCCTTATCGGTCATCGCTTCGGAAACAAAAAAGCGAAAGAATTTGAAACGCTTATCACGATGTTTTTACTACAATTTTATTCAGTTGTATTCAGTCAATGTGTCAGTCGGTAACGCGTAAGTGAATAGTGGTGTTTGTTGCGTGACTCAAACGAAATAAAAAATGGCACATGTTTACGAAAATGCTGAACTTGTCGACATGATTCTTATTTACGAGGGGGGAGTCTTTACAGAATGCTGCCGCGGCATCACGGATTTATGCGGATCGGTTTCCCAAACGAGTGCAACCAACCCCTCGTGCCTTTGTTAATGTAGTACAACATGCTCGTGAATCAGGTGACTTAAGACCTCACAGGGGACTGCATGCCGGTGCTCCAAGACCTCACGATCAAATACAGGTCCGCACTGAAATACTTGTCGGGAGGATACTTTATAAAACAAGGTAAAAAAAAATTTTTAATTTTTTTTTATTTTTACACACATATTTTGGTTTATCTTCCTTCTACAATCATTATCTGAAAATTAATGACTCAACTTCAAAGTCACCCTGTATAGTTTACTCAAAGAACTCCATTTTGAGTATACAAAACGGGACAGAAATAGTATTTTGATGGACAGCCAAGAGATTATTTTATGGAGAAGAAATTATTTAAAATCAATAAAGAAATACCGCGTAATCTTAATGTTATTGGCGAAATGGCTAAAAACCAAAATAAGACCGCTTTAAGGCCACCCCGTTAACACTGCGGATTAAATCCCATTGAAATAATTTGGGCAAATATAAAAAACTATGTGGCTTCAAACAATAGAACATTCAATTTTCTTATATGAAAAATTTGTTTTAAGAAGCTGTCAACAGAGTGACGGCAAACCATTGGAAAGATTGCATCCGTCACGTTCAAGAGGAAATCGAAACAAAGATGTGGGATCTGGACAATATGACCGATATTCAAAATGAATCTATAATAATTAATATTATCCATTTGGGCGATAATTCAAGTACTTAAAGTGAATAAAGAATTGTGAAAAGTATGTGCACTTCTTTCTATAAAAATAATTATTTATTTTGTTAGATTATTCCAAGACCGTTGAGTAAAATACGGACCTGTACAGTCTCGCTTTTGGGGATGTTGTGTTTTGTCTGAGCGTAAATGGACTACGAATGGAGTATAGATAATAATTTTAAACCTTCTACTTAAACAAATATACTAAGTGACATATAAATCCGAACACCCAGTTTAAATGGTTTTATTTTAATAAAAGTTGGTGAATGTATTTATCTTACTGTAAATAACGTGTGAAAAAATTTTCAGCCTTATCAGTTGGACATTCCGGTTTCTATACTGCTTTTTTTTAATTCACTAACGTTCTAAAAATGAATATTTTAGCCGCAGTAAAGAATCAACGTTGGCGGATTTTGGTTCTTGACATCCTTTACGATCGGTTACGATGCCTAGAGTACGGAGACGTGTACGATTTCGTCAACTTAGTGAGTTTGATAGGGGCCGTATAGTGGGACTTCGGGAAGCTGGCCTTTCTTTTCGGGCAATTGCAGTTAGAGTGCAAAGAAGTGTAGACACTGTGGTTAGGTGTTGTCAGGCATGGCTTCGAGAAGGCCGTACGCAAAGAGCAAGGGGCACTGGACGCCGCCGTAGAACAACAGACCGTGAAGATCGCCGCCTAAGATTATTGGCCTTAAGGGACCGTTTCTCCGCTACCAGGTCCATTGCGAATGAATGGTTTGCAGAACACGGAAGACCTATTGGCATGCGAAGTGTTTACCGACGAATGAGAAGTTTTGGCTTGTTTTCATACCGGCCACACTGGGTCCTCCCTTTAACTCGAGAACACCGACGTAATCGCCTTGAGTGGTGCAGACAACGGTCACTCTGGGATCAGGAATGGAACAGTATTGTCTTTAGTGACGAGTCTCGATTTTGTTTAGGCATGCACGATGGTCGTGCCAGGGATAGAAGGCGACGTGGTGAAAGGAGGAATCCACAGTTTTTTGTTGAAAGACATGTTCATCACACTGTTGGAGTTATGGTTTGGGGTGCTATAGCTCATGGTTCCAGGTCACCTTTAATCTTCATCAGAGGTAACATGAACGCGCAGCGTTATATCCACGAAGTTCTAGAACCCCATCTTTTACCCTATCTTGACACCCTGGCAGATCCAACTTTCCAACAAGATAATGCCCAACCACATGTTGCAAGAGTCACAATAGACTTCTTTCAACATAATGATGTCACATTGTTACCATGGCCACCAAGATCTCCCGACTTATCCCCAATTGAGCACGTGTGGGATATGATGGGTAGGAGATTGCTCAATTTGCAACGTCCTCCTCAGACTCTAGAAGCACTTCGAGAGGAGTTGGTGGTTGCCTGGAATGAGATACCACAAGAGGACATTGACCACCAGATCAGAAGCATGCCTAGGCGCGTTGGAGAATGCGTAGCACATCAGGGTGCATCCACACATTATTAAAGGTCAAAGGGCTTTAAAGCAGTGCAATCATTTTGAAATTTTTATCATTTACTTATTATGCTTCATTAAGTACTTATACAAAATTTTATTAAAATAAAACCATTTAAACTGGGTGTTCGGATTTATATGTCACTTAGTATATATGACTAACGACTCTCGTAGACCGTAAATACCTGTCAATAGTATGTAATTTTTTGATGTCAGTCTTCAGGAACGTTCTTATTTTTTTCGAAATATAGAGCGCATTTGACACAGTGCTAATGGAAAAACAGAACTCTCAAGTGTAACAATAAACACCCTAATTATATGCTTAAAAAACAAACCATTTTTAAATTGACTTTGCATTAAAACTTTTATTTTCAATAAGGCACAAATCCACAGTATTTTCAAAAATGAATTTACTTTAAAAAAATGCGAATATTTTTTTGATTCTATGCCACCAAATGTTTGTTCCTCAAAATGTAAATCTATTGTAGCAATTCAATCGAAATTAAACAAGAAGCTTGATTTCAGGGCATAAAACTTAACTGTAGATTTCTCGAAATAAAATGAATATGGCTTAGGTACCTTCTTGCCCCAAATCTTTCTGTCACTCCTAAAAGACAAAGCAAGTAAACCGTCCTTACAGCAGAGAAGCCTTGAGGAATGAATATGCATTCGGTTCTTAGCATGAATCTTCTTTACCAATAAAGTAATATTCTAGAGACGAAAAAAGTCCTGATCTTCCGAAGATCCTCCAGAAACGGGTGCAGATCATCACGAACTGCTCGTGTCAAAGTTGTGACAAGGTGAGAAAAGATGACTGCGAGATCACAGATGAAAATACGCTGGAATTGCCGAGGAGCATGTTCACAGATGAGAGGAATCAAAACAAGTCCGCTGGAGACGAAGTACCTGAATTACTTGAAAGAAATGGTAAGCGACCACCAAACGCAAACACGGGTTGAACGAAAAAAAAAATAGCACGATAATTTCAAAATTCGGAAAGATCTGCAATTACGACACAGCCAATATTTGTGCACAACAATCTTCAGTATATACTTTATATACACAGTGTAACGTGTATTTTGCACCACCCTATATAATGATGTAGCTTCAAAAACGCTTTGCGTAAAGGAAAATTGAAAATGAATGTATATGCGTGCGTTAGAAATACTAAGTCAATCTACTTGACTCCAATTTTTCAAATGAGAAATGAGTGTACCTTAATGACTATAATAGAACCAAGTCTCGATTTTTATTTAAGATACGAAGCCCGCGACATCTTCAGATACCGAAACCGATATAAAATTCAAGAACAAGCTGAAAAAATGGTTCGAGATCTACCAAAACGAATCGGAGTCCGACCAACTGAAAGATGATACAGACAGCGAGTACTACTTCCAAAAGTTCAAATCGCCGGTGTACCATTTGGGACTGGAACATAACCAAGAGACCAACACTAAGATAGAGCAGGATCTGAAGAATTTGCCTGAAAATTTTGGTGTTGAGGGAGCATCCAGTCACCATAAGGGCAACCATGTTGGTATGGGCATTGCTCATAGTCAAAATGAGGTCGTAGCTCAGCCGGAAGTTAAGGTTTTAGCTGAAGACAGAGGTAAGTTTTTCTAGGCTTTATTTTGCGTCATCGTGAAATTTTATTCTAAAGTTGTAAAACTTCCACTACACTGGTAAAAAAATTTAGTTAAGCCAATTAAAGTTTTAGTAAAACCAAATAAAGATTTTAATCAACTATTAACTCAGTGCCAGCTAACAAGTTTGATTTGTTGAATTTTTAAAACAGTTTACTTGAATGTATGATACTAGTTTAATTAAACCAAAATGCAATCGTTTAATTAAATTTAATAAACCGTTTACTCAGATTAAGTATACCCATTTATTTGAAAATATTAAACTACTAAAATGTGTTTACTTGCTCGCAGTAGAACAATTTAATTGTATTTATTAAATTTGTTTAATTGGTTGAGGTAACAGTATTTGCTTAGTTTTAAAAAAATATTTTATTTAGATTTAAAAAGATCATTGTATATTTGAAGAACACATTGCATTTTACTGGATGATTGATATTATAACTGCACTCTGACAAATCTTATATATACAAAAATCTGGAATACTTGATATTGATAGTTGATGTTTTCGAATCAAAATAAAAATTTCAGAATTTTATAACAATAACAAAATTCGATATTTTCCTATTTCTATTCCCACCGGCACTGCGCCTGTCGCGTATCGCCGATCATTCACGACCTGCGATTCCGCGATTCAAATAAACAGTTTAATTGTTTTTATTATAATGATTCATTGTTTCAAATGTACCCTTTCCACATAGCCTAAGTTACATAAACTAATTAAACAGATTAATAAAACAGGTACATGGTTTGATATTTTCAAGCAAATTAATTTGTTAGTACATTATGACTTTCAAATAAACTGGTTCCAGAAAAATCAGTTTAATTTAACCGAATAATTTGGTTCCTAAGAATAATTTAAAAAATCAAACCAATTAGAGGTTTAATCAGACCAATTAAACATTTTAATTAACTAAGTGACAGCTAACAAGTTTAATTAGTCAAATTTTTAAAACATTTACTTGAATCTGTGAGACTAATCTGTGAGTCTAATTACACAAAAAGGCAATCGTTTAATAAAATTTAATAAACCGTTTACTTAGATTAAGGACACCAATTTATTTAAAATTGAAGAACTATTAAAATGAGTCTACCTGCTCCAAGTAAAACAATTCAATTACATTTATTAAGTTTGTTTAATTCGCTTAGGTGAAATTATTTACTTAGTTTTAATACATTATTTTATTTAAAAGGATAATATTTGGAATTTAGAAGAACAAATTGCATTTTACTGAATGATGTATATTATAACTGTACTCTGACAAATCTTAGATATAAAAAAATTTGGAATACTTGATAGTGATAGTTGGTTTCCGAATTGTTTTTATTATAATGATTAATTGTTTCAAATTTACCCTTTCCACATAAACTAAGTTTCATAAACTAATTAAACAGTTTAATAAAACAGGTACATGGTTTGATATTTTCAAGCAAATTAGTTTGTTAGCACATTATGACTTTCAAATAAACTGGTTCCAGAAAAATCAGTTTAATTTACCCAAATAATTTAGTTTCTTAGAATAATTAAAAAAATAATCAAACCAATTAAAGTTTTAATTAGGCCAATTACAAATTTCAATTAACTAAGTGACAGCTAACAAGTTAAATTAGTCAAATTTTTAAAACAGTTTACTTGAATCTGTAAGACTAGTCTAATTAATCAAATATGCAATCGTTTAATTAAATTTGATGAACCGTTTACTTAGATTAAGAACACCAATTTATTTAAAATTAATGAACTATTAAAATGAGTCTACCTGCTCCAAGTAAAACAATTCAATTACATTTATTAAGTTTGTTTAATTCGCTTAGATAAAATTATTTACTTAGTTTTAATGCATTATTTTATTTAGATTTAGAAGGATAATATTTGGAATTTAGAAGAACAAATTGCATTTTACTGAATGATGTTTATTATAACTGTACTCTAACAAATCGTGGATATCAAAACATTTGGAATACTTGAATACAAAATAAAAACTTTTTATAACATTTTATCATATGTAAGATCAAGTTTTACCAATTATTTGTCTATTACATCAACAACGGCAACATTCGAGTACGAGGCTCCTTGCGAAAACCACAAATGAAACTGAGGAGTTCGAAGCACGTTACCGACACTGCGTCTGTCGCATACTCACGATCATTCACGAATGAAAGGGCCGAGTTTAATTGTTTTTATTGTTATGATTAGTTGTTTTAAATGCACCTTTTCTACATAAACTAAGTTACCTAAACTGATTAAACAGCTTAATAAAGCAGGTACATGGTTTGATATTTTCAAGCGCATTAGTTTGTTAGTATATTATGACTTTCAGTTAAGCTGGTATCAGAAAATTCCGTATAATTTAAACATACAATTTAGTTTCTTAGAATAATTAAAAAAATAATCAACCCAATTAAAGCTTTAATTAGTCCAATTAAGCGTTTTAATTAACTAAGTGACAGCTAACAAGTTTAATTAGTAAAATTTCTAAAATAGTTTACTTGAATCTGTGAGACTAGCTTAATTAAACCAAAATGCAATAGTTTAATTAAATTTAATAAACCGTTTACTGAGATTAAGTACACTAATTTATTTGAAATTAATGAACTATGAAAATGAAGTAAAACAAATCAGTTATGTATATTTATTAAAGTTGTTTAATTCGTTTAGGTTACAGTATTTACCCAAATTAAATGAATTATTTTATTTAGATTTAAAAGGATAATTAGATAGTATTTGGAATTTAAAAGTACAAATTACATTTTACTGAATGATATATACTCCCGATCATTCACGAATGAAGGGCCGAGCCCTGCGGTGTCCGCGATTCAATTAAAGAGTTTAATTGCTTTTATTAAAATGATTACTTATTTTAAATCCACCTTTTCCACATATACTAAGTTACCTAAAGTAATTAATCAGTTTAATAAACAGGTGCACGGTTTGATATTTTCAAGCAAATTTGGTTATTAGTATATTGTTACTAGTTCCCGAAAATTCAATTTAAATGAACCAAATAATTTAATTGCTTAAAATAATTAAAAAAAATCATTACGGGTAATAAAAGTTTTCTAGAACTGTTTAATTGGCCATGTCATCCGTTTTCTGACAACAAAAAACACATAAAAGGACAAAATTGAAGATACGAAAAATGTTTCCTTTGGTTTCAGGTGAAGGTCCACAGAGTCATCATAAGGGAGGTCACGTGGGTGTTGGAGTGAGTCATAGTCAAAATGACCTAGTGGTGGAAGATTTGGTAAAAAAACACCACGAACACCATGAAGATAGTAACCATCATCAAGGACACCATGGCAACCATCATCATCACAAGCATCATCTTGGGGACGAGGAACAGATTGGTGAGTTGTTATGAATGAATCTTTCTGAAATAAATTGAAATTAAACGAATTTTGTAAAGAACGTATTGTTTGTTTAATCTATGAGGTTAGTAAGGAACAGTTTTGGATCTGGATATTTGCAGCAGGCGGACTACACCATGATACTGTAACGAAAATACCGTTTTGAAGATCCAAAGTCTGATTTATTACTTTTACACCAATTTATAACACTTGTACTAATTTATGACAATTTAAGTATAACCATGTCGACTGGACCACGGCATTCAGAAGTGTTTGACTGTCTCTACTACGCCTAACTGCCATCTGGTCATGTATTTATCTCCCTATCGACGCATTGAGAAACGTTCCAGCGTTTTCCAGGTCAAGTCGTGATCTCCCATAGAAGTGGTTTAGATGGCAGCAGGTGTCTCCAGATGGATTCTTGAATATCGGCCTAACCCTTTTTTAGATATCGCGGCAAGCACTCACACACGGTCGCGTAAGTGGTTCCCTAAGCATCGACTATGCAAGGCGACATCTCGCCGCTCACGGTTTCAGTCACACGATGGTCGAGTATTTATGTCCCTATCGACGCGTCGAGAAACGTTCCAGCGTTTTCCAGGTCAAGTCGTGCACTTTCATGGAAATAGTCTAGATGGCAGCAGGTGCCTCCAGACAGATTCTTGAATCTCGGCCTAACCCCTTTTAAGTAAGTGGCTGCCTAAGCGACGACTCTGCAAGGCGATATCTGGCCGCTCAGGGTTTCAGTCACACGATGGTCGAGTATTTATCTCCCTATCGACGCGTCGAGAAAGGTTCCAGCGTTTTTCAGGTCAAGTCGTGAACTTCCATGGAAGTAGTCTAGATGGCAGCGGGTGCCTCCAGATGGATTCTTGAATCTCGGCCTAACCCTTTTTTTAGACGCGGGGCAAGCACTCATACACGGTCGCGTAACTGGTTGCCTAAGCGTAGGCTCTGCAAGGCGACGTCTCGCCGCTCAGGGTTCCAGTAATACGATGATCGAGTATTTATCTCGCTATCGACGCGTAGAGAAACGTTCCAGCGTTTTCCAGGTCAAGTCGTGAACTTCCATGGAAGTAGTCTAGATGGCAGCAGGTGCCTCCAGACGGATTCTTGATTCTCGGCCTAACCCTTTTTTAGACAGCGGGGCAAGCACTCATACACGGTCGCGTAACTGGTTGCCTAAGCATCGACTCTGCAAGGCGACGTCTCGCCGCTCAGGGTTCCAGTAATACGATGGTCGAGTACTTATCTCCCTCTCGACGCGTCGAGAAACGTTCCAGCGTTTTCCGGGTCAAGTCGTGAACTTCCATGGAAGTAGTCTAGATGGCAGCAGGTGCCTCCAGACGGATTCTTGAATATCGGCCTAACCCTTTTTTAGATAGCGCGGCAAGCACTCACACACGGTCGCGTAAGTGGCTGCCTAAGCATCGACTCGGCAAGGCGACATCTCGCCGCTAGGATTTGAGTAATACGATGGTCGAGTATTTATCTCCCTATCGACTCATCGAGAAACGTTCCAGCGTTTTCCAGGTCAAGTCGTGAACTTCCATGCAAGTAGTCTAGATGTCAGCAGGTGCCTCCAGATGGATTCCTGAATCTCGGCCCAACCCTTTTTTTTAGATAGCGCGGCAAGCACTCATACACGGTCGACTAAGTGGTTCCCTAAGCGTCGACTCTGCAAGGCGACATCTGGCCGCTCAGGGTTTCAGCCACACGATGATCGAGTATTTCTCTCCCTATCGACGCGTCGAGAAACGTTCCAGCGTTTTCTAGGTCAAGTCGTGAACTTCCATGGAAGTAGTCTAGATGGCAGCGGGTGCCTCTAGATGGATTCTTGAATCTCGGCCTAACCCTTTTTTAGATAGCGCTGCAAGTACTGACACACGGTCGCGTAACTGGTTGCCTAAGCGTCGACTCTGCAAGGCGACATCTCGCCGCTAGGATTTGAGTAATACGTTGGTCGAGTATTTATCTCCCTATCGACGCGTCGAGAAACATTCCAGCGTTTTCCAGGTCAAGTCGTAAACTTTCATGGAAGTAGTCTAGATGGCAGCAGGTGCCTCCAGACGGATTCTTGAATCTCGGCCTAAACCTTTTTTAGATAGTGCGGCAAGCACTCACACACGGTCGCGTAAGTGGTTGCCTAAGCATCGACTCTGCAAGGCGACATCTCGCCGCTCAGGGTTTCAGTCACACGATGGTCGAGTATTTATCTCCATATCGACGCGTCTAGAAATGTTCCAGCGTTTTCCAGGTCAAGTCGTGAACTTCCATGGAAGTAGTCTAGATGGCAGCAGGTGTCTCCAGACGGATTCTTGAATCTCGGCCTAACCCCTTTTTTTAGACAGCGGGGCAACCACTCATACACGGTCGCGTAACTGGTTGCTTAAGCGTCGACTCTGCAAGGCGACATCTCGTCGCTCAGGGTTTCAGTCACACGATGGTCGAGTATTTATCTCCATATCGACGCGTCTAGAAATGTTCCAGCGTTTTCCAGGTCAAGTCGTGAACTTCCATGGAAGTAGTCTAGATGGCAGCAGGTGCCTCCAGACGCCTCCAGACGGATTCTTGAATCTCGGCCTAACCCCTTTTTAGACAGCGGCAAGCACTAACACACGGTCGCGAAAGTGGCTCCCTAAGCGATGACTCTGCAAGGCAACATCTGGCCGCTCAGGGTTTCAGTCACACGATGGTCGAGTATTTATCTCCCTATCGACGCATCGAGAAACGTTCCAGCGTTTTCCAGGTTAAGTCGTGAACTTCCATAGAAGTGGTCTAAATGGCAGCATGTGCCTCCAGACGGATTCTTGAATCTCGGCCTAACCCTAACACGGTCGCGTAAGTGGTTGCCTAAGCATCGACTATGCAAGGCGACATCTCGCCGCTCAGGGTTTCAGTCACACGATGGTCGAGTAGTTATCTCCATATCGACGCGTCGAGAAAGGTTCCAGCGTTTTTCAGGTCAAGTCGTGAACTACCATGGAAGTAGTCTAGATGGCAGCAGGTGCCTCCAGACGGATTCTTGAATCTCGGCCTAACCCTTTTTTAGATAACGCGGCAAGCACTCACACACGGTCGCGTAAGTGGTTGCCTAAGCATCGACTCTGCAAGGCGACATCTCGCCGCTCAGGCTTTCAGTCACACGATGGTCGAGTATTTATCTCCCTAACGACGTGTCGAGAAAGGTTCCAGCGTTTTCCAGATCAAGTCGTGAACTTCCATGGAAGTAGTCTAGATGGCAGCAGGTGCCTCCAGATGGATTCTTGAATCTCGGCCTAACCCCTTTTTAGATAGCGCGGCAAGCACTCACACACGGTCGCGTAAGTGGCTGCCTAAGCGATAACTCTGCAAGGCGACATCTGGCCGCTCAGGGTTTCAGTCACACGATGGTCGAGTATTTATCTCCCTATCGACGCGTCTAGAAATGTTCCAGCGTTTTCCAGGTCAAGTCGTGAACTTCCATGGAAGTAGTCTAGATGGCAGCAGGTGTCTCCAGACACACGGTCGCGTAACTGGTTGCCTAAGCGTCAACTCTGCAACGCGACGTCTCGCCGCTCAAGGTCTTAGCTATACGATGGTCTTCCTATCGATGGGTCGAAAAACGTTCCAGCGTTTTCGAGGTCAAGTCGTGGGCATGGAAGTAGTCAAATGGATCTCTACTATTCTTGAATCTCGGCCTACCCTTTTTCAGACAGCGCCGCAAGTACTCACACACCGTCGCGTAACTGGTTGCCTAAGCGTTGACTCTGCAAGGCGACTCCTCACCGCTCAAGGTTCGAGCTATACGATGGCGTTACAATACGCTTTAGATAAGTAGTAGTTTTTTGGATGTTGTATGACGGACGAAAAACCAGCCACTCATTTCCGTCGATATGTCTGTCTGTTTGTCGGTCCGTCCACCGATCCGGGGCCCGTCTATAATATGCAAAATACTGTTCGGATTTGGGTGAACTTTTCACACAAGGTTACTTCTAAGCCAGGATGAAAAAGCTATGTAGTTTTGAAAAAGTCGAAAGCGATATAAATCACCCAAACTTCGTTTTTTGACGTTTCAGCGACCTTTAAAACTTAAGATTGATATTATCACGACAGTGACGTGAGGGGAAAGTTTGCTGTAAGTTGGGCAGACTCGCTAGTGTGGATTCTCAAATGATAAGAAAAAATGTATATATCAAAGTGTATAAACAAAACGCCGCACAAATAAAAGTACAATAAAATGAAACAGGTACTTTCTTGGTGGCCCAGGAAGGTCCAGTCCCACGAAGAAAGATTTGCCCAGGGCAGGAATAATCCCACGTGTAATAATACACCTTTGTAGATTATGCATTATTTGTCGAAGATGTGCACATTTCTCAGCGGATGCGGTTTAGGGTATCTATCGAGCTATATGGCGCCTGTGTGGCTCGTGTATGGCGCTACAGGGTGACCACTCGTGGAAATATATTAAAATTACATATTTTTAACAGATGCCTGTCTGGATGAGTTGCATCCGGTAGGGGCTGTTATACTGCCGTGAATCGGTATCCACGCGTGCTTTTTATAGTCATATAATAATTATACAGGGTGTCTGCGAAAGGTAAGGAAATCTTGAAACTGGAGATACTACAGACCAAAATATGTGAATTGACCTAAACATACCTTAGTCCAAAAGTTGATAGTTTGCTAGATACAGGGTGTCAAAGTTGCAATTTTATTTTCTATTTTTCCTTATTGGTTGAGTAGTATTTCATATTTTGGTATAAAACTCGGTATAGGGAGGTTTTCTAGAACGAAAAACAATAATCCGTTATTTTTTATATGGACAAACTTCTAGACTTCCACTTACAGCACTATTTCGGTAAATAACTTATCATACACTTTTTTGTGCTACCCTGTATACAACAACTGACCGTAAAATTCCTATTTTCTCGTAATTCCACAACAAGAAAGGTTTACTTGTTAAAAGTGTCTAAAGCTAATAGTTTTCGAGATATTTGTTTTTAAAGTCAATCCGTACATTAAATGCATACCAGAATATTCATCAAACGTATACTCCTTGATGTTTAACTTAAAATTATTCATGAAGTTTAAAGCAATATTAGCAAACATTTATAAACCATGGAAACGCTACTCAGATATTATCCAAAGCAACTTGATTATTATGTTATAAAAATGTCTTATCATCATGGTACAAATAATGCATTGGAACTTTTAAAAACAAATATCTCGAAAACTATTAGCTTTAAACACACAAGTAAACCTTTTTTGTTGTGGAAATGCGAGAAAATAAAATTTTTCGCTCAGTTGTGATATACAGGGTAGCACAAAAAAGTTATGATAAGTTATTTACCGAAATAGTGCCCCTTTTTTATACTATTTTTTATTAGCTATTACGATACTTCCTCGCAAGTATGTAGGCGCGCGAAGTGAAATGAAACGCCAGCTGCAGTATAAAAATCGCTCTAATAGTGGTTCATAGACAGTAACAAAACATCAAGTAGCAACATGCTACATAAGTCGACAAAACTGTACGGCATGTACAGCAACAAGTGCAAAATCCAAATCAGTGGTGGTGATGGTGTTCCTCAGGGCCCTGGTTTCCCCAATGGGTCACCTTCACGTAGCTGGTGGCTCCATGCGGATGCTTAGCAATACCGTCTCTGTCTACGATCGCCTCGAAGCCTGTCTTGTGGTCCGAACGGTACTTCACCACTCGGTGGGTACCGTCTGGTTCGTGCAAGTTGTACTCTCCGTCGAGGTGGTGGCCTTCACGGTGTTCATGTTGGTCCTTGTGGTCGTGGGTGTGGGGGTCCTTCACGCCGTACGCGAATTTGTAGTGAGCGTGGTCCTGGAAAAGGTTCGATTTGATTAGTCAACGCGAAAATGACTATTTTGCTGGAAAAATAGGACGAAAGTAAAGTTCCACGTACATACTTGGTTGCCTTTAGATTGTCTAAAGGTTTGTTCGTTCAGTAGTCGATGACTATGTCCGTGTGAATTCCGTCTATACAGGGTGTCCATCGATAGATTTCTCGAAAAGTAGGCATATGATATTTTTGATAATTTGGGGATATACTAATGTCGATGGGGCAACGGCAGCTAAAATATTTTCAAGATGGTGGCACTTCCGGTTATACCGGAATTTGATGCCAACTTGCTTATTTTAAATTGGACACCCTGTATAATACTCAATATTCGGATTCTAAGGGGTTGTACGGACGCAGGAAAGTAAACGCATATTAAAACAAGAAAGATTGATATTCAAATCAAGTTGGGTACTTTATTTTGAAGGTTCATTTATACCATTTATGTATGAAAATAATATCGCTCAAATGATCACCACGACTGGATTTACAGACGTCCACGCGATGGTCGACATTTTGCAACATGGTCGGTTCTATGGCATTTATCTCGGCAATGATGTTGTTTTTGAGTTCTTGGAGGGTGGCTGGTTTGTTGACGTAGACTTTGCTTTTCAAATATCCCCATAAAAAGAAGTCCAAGGGAGTCGAATCGCACGATCTTGGTGGCCATGGCACATTTCCTCTGCGCGAAATCACGCGATCACCGAAGAAGGACTGCAATAGATGGATATTGACGTTGGTTGTGTAGCATGTTGCACCGTCTTGTTGGAAATAAACATCGTCCATATCCATTCCTTCAAGTTGCGGCAAAAAATAGTCCTCTATCGTCACGAGATATCGCTCAGAGTTGACGGTAACTGCGTCCCCGGCCGCATTTTCGAAAAAGTAAGGTCCGATGATGTCTTTTGACCACAATGCACACCACACAGTCACTTTTTGAGGATGCATCGGCTGCTCTTGATACTCACGGGGATTTTCGTGCGCCCAGATGCGGCAGTTTTGCTTGTTTACCGTCCCATTCAAAGTGAAATGCGCTTCGTCGCTGAACATGATTTTTGATGAAAAATTGGCATCAATTTGGCGGTGTTCAAGGCGCCAATCTGAGAATGTTCGGCGCGAAAAATGGTCGGCCCGACGCAGCTCTTGCGTCAATTGGATCTTGTAGGCGTGTACATTCAAATCCTTGTGGAGAATGTGGAGCAAACTGGTTCTCGAAATGCCCAATTCTTGGGATCGACGCGTTGTTGATTGTTTCGGATCGTCTCTCACACTCTCCTTCACAACAGCAATATTTTCCGGTGTGTGAACGCTCCTTGGCCGGCCAAGCCTGGCAGATTTGCCACAGAACCTGTTGCCTCGAATTTACGCACCAGACGACCGATGGTTGTTTCGTTTGGGCGGTTGTTGCGATCGAAATGTTCACGAAGCGCGCGAAACGTGTTTTTTATTTTTGCACCATTTTTGTAGTGCTCTTGAATAACTTTAATGCGGTCTTCAATCGAATACGACTCCATAGCGATCAATGGTAAACATTCAACTAACAAAATGACATGTCGGTGACAGAAAACAAAGATGGCGTCTATGTCAAATTCACGTTTACTTTCCTGCGTCCCTATTGGACAACCCTTTACATAAAATCCTAATCATATTGTATAATATCCTATACTCAAGTCTAACCGTTTTTGATATATTTCAAATTTGATGTCAAAAATGACGTAAAATGACTGTTCATTTCCGGTTATATCGGAAGTTGATGACAACTTGCTTATTTTCGAATTCTACATGAAATCCTAATCATATTTCATGTATAGTCGTCTATACCCAAGTCTAACCGTTTTTGACATATTTAAAATTTTATGTCAAAAATGACCTAAAATAATTGTTCATTTCCTCTATGTAGAACATCTTATTGCTTATTGTGGATTGATTTTCTGGTAAACAGGGATGTAGTTTAATAGACTTTGTATGATATTTCAGGGTGGTCAGAAAATTAGTGTAAAAATTGAATGTAAAAAATTGCCAAAAGTCGATTTTTTCAAATGAAAACCCCCTATTTTTATAAGTTTATCGCGTCAAGCATTAAAAATTAGCGTAACTTTATACAGGGTTATCTATCCCAAAAATGTTTACTTTTCGAGTAATTTGCAATTTATTACTTTTCTATTGTAAAACTCCTGTAAGTACAGATTTAGTTTTTTAATAAGTTGGCTATGACGACGGGACGCAGAGAATAAACAATTGAGCACTACAGAAATATCACTACGTCTAATTTTAAGCTTTTAATAATTTTCATGTATTCGTAATCAGCAGGAGCGGCTGGCCCTTAAGTTCTGCAGAGCTGCCAAAACTTTTGTCTTAACAGAAAAAAGCAGTAGTAATTTGATCATTATTTATCTTCCATCTTATCACACAAATAGAAACAATACCGGCAACGCTGCCCCCGCAAGACACGGCGCAGAGTCTGTTTTGTATTGAGAAAGCAGTATAATCAACCAATTGTGTACTTGTCATTTTCGTCGCGACCGCAGCGTAACATTATTCATGGGCCACTTGAAAAGGTTCTGTGCACTACTTCGATACAAGCCGCACGCGCTTGCTTTTGTCTCTCTCTACAAAATCAAATGCGCCATTTAAGCATAACCATGTGCCGCACGTTATACAGATCCGTACAGATCTAATGCGAGTACGACATCTGATTGGTCGATCGGTGCTCGGTATAAAATTTTGCGGAGCATTTGAATTGGCGCTACGGGGCCGCGACGAAACCGAGAGCTCTCAAAACCTGGAAATATTTCGTGGACTGATTAATTTTTCTGCTGAGCTTGATACAACCGCAAGCGAACACAACATAAAAAATGCTTCAATATTTAAAGAAACTTCGAAAGACATACAAAACGATCTACTGGATTGTATTCTTGAAGTTTGTCATGAAGAAATAATAAAACAGATTAACAGAGTCTCGTATTTGGCGATAATAGCAGATGAAACAACGGACATTTCGGGGAAAACCCAACTGGTAACAATTTTCAGATACGTTTTTAACGGCGAACCAGTAGAACGTTTTTGTAATTATATATAATGTGACGCTGATACCCCCACAAGACATATTTTGAGCGTCGTAGATCCATTAATAGGAAATTTCCCTAACAAACTGATTTCACAAAGCTATGATGGAGCCGCGGTAATGAGCGGACATAATGCTGGAGTACAGGCAAAAATTAAACAAAGATAACCATTGACTCGCTATGTGCATTGCTACGCGCATCAGTTAAACCTGATTATGTCCGGAACTGCTTCCGCAAATGCTCAAATTCGGGTTCTTTGGGGATTTGAAAGATAATCCGGGATTTTTTAATAATTCTCCTCAACGCGTAGAGGTACTGAACAGAATTGTGGGGAATCAATTCCCCAAGGAGCAACAACTCGATGGAATTTTAATATTCGAACAATAAATGTAGTGTTTGAGAACAGAGAATCACTGATTGGATGCATGGAAGAAATAAAAGAAAATTTCACTAATGAAACCGTTTGTAAGGCAGCTTGCGGTATTCGCCGTATGTTAAACGATTCTGTTTTCGTGTTTTGGCTGACATTTTTCATCATGTCATGCCTCACGTCGACACCTTGTTCAACCAGTTGCAGAAGAGAAAAACCGAGCCAGCGCAGGTTAAAACGGCTATCGATAATTTTGAAAAATGTATTGTCGATGTGAGAAATAGAATTGATGACATAATAAATGAAGCCAAAAGTATTTACACTGAACCCCAAGGCAACAAAAGGAGACGACGTAATAATAGCAGTCACGATCACCGAGTTGCCGCATTAGAAGTATGCGATAATACAGGGTGTCCGCAAAGTTGGGGTTTTCCTTTTCAGAAACAACTACCCTTGAAATAACAAAGGTAATGTGTAGTGAAACGAGGGCGACCAAGTAAAAAAAATAAAGGAAAAAGTACTCACTCTCCAGTTGACGAGAAGGGCTAAGTACGTCTCTGCCTGAAATCGAAAGTTATTCACCCCATTACGCGTGAACGTAGATTCGTCTGTCACCAATATGCACTTCAAAAAGTCCGGATTATTGTCATGTTGATGCAACAACCACTCACAAAACCGCACTTTTGCTGGAAAATCGTCAGGTTGGAGGGCTTGTACACGTTGGACGTTTGCCACACTTTAGTTTTTGATACTTGCACTTCTCTAGCCACGTCTCTAGTGCTTGTTGAGGGATTCTCGTCTACGCGATTCAGTAGTTCTTCCTCATCTTGTACCATTCGTGGTTGTCTAGGCCTCCCACTGTGCCCACCTCGAAATTCCTCCAAATGGCCCGTATCCCTGACTCTCTGGACCAGGTACACAAATCTGCGGGGCCTTGGATGATGTCGTCTAGGGAAACGATCTGCATACACTCGCGACGATTCTGTAGCATTTTGAAGACATTCGCCATGAATTAACAACATATCAACGAGTTCATTATTGATGTATGAGTGTGCCATTATCATTTTTTTTTTGAAACGCAATCGATTATACGGATTCGTTACCTCTATACGCGTGACCCTTTACCGTCGGTTGAAGGTTGCATACTGACCTGACACACTGACCCCGACCCCCGACCCAGTTCTGTCGTCGGGTTCAGCTAGTAGCCGGTACCAGTCTGGGATATCGCGGCGGGTCGCGGCTACAGGACGGTATTCAGATATTTTTGATGTTGCAGAGCCCTTTATCTTGGTTCCCTTAAGACATTGGTGTATATGGTACTAAGAAAAATTGCTTATGTTTTCAAGATCTACACGTCGTGTAAAGGAAAACCCCAACTTTGCGGACACCCTGTATAGTGATTTCAATTCAAAGATCATTTGGTAGCCGCATCCCGTTTTTCCCCGAACACTTTGGAGAATACTGTGTTAAGTTTCCTGATGACAAGTTGGAAACTACCTGCTTGGCTTATCCCGAATTAGAAAAAAGTCGTTTAAATACAGAGTTGTCTGTTATTTATGCACGGAATGATTGCCGAGATTTACATGGAACTCTGTCTCTTTTGACATTTTTGATACAAAATGGTTTGGAGGAAACACTAAAAGAAACAAAAAAGCTATTAGAAATTATTGTTACACCTCCTATGTCAACATCAGAGGCTGAGCGAAATATCTCAACATTGAAAAGAATCAAGACTTTTCTTCGTAATACTATAACCCAGGATCGCCGTACAGCGTTGTCGATGCTGTCCATTGAAAAGGGATTTATTTCGACCATGGAAAATTTCAACGGCAAGGTGATCGATAAATATTCTGCCAAGAAGGAGCGCAGGATCGAACTGACATATAAAAAATAACTAAATTCGGATTTGCAGAACACCTGTTTTATTTTGCCACGAGCCGCCACTGGTAATCATAATAATATGAAGACTAATTATGATAAGTTTGCTAGTAGGTTTCCTAAAAATATTATTCATTATTAATAATAATGTTGATAACTACATAATGTTCTCTTTAATATCCAAATCACTGATCAACAGCCAAAAAATATCCTAAATAAAATCAACAAAATATTACTATTTTTAATGTGCTAAAACCGGAATGAAACTTTTTTCAATATTAGTTCAAGTTTTAGAGATACGGTAATTATATGTGTTCCTGCTGTGACAGTGTTAATATACTGTAATTCACAAGAATGCACGTGCTACATTTTTATATTCGGCAAGGAAAGATGATGTAATCGGCATGATTGTGTTACGTTATACATACGTGTACATTATATTGTTTTATATTAGCCATTTTTCCTCATTTGGCTGACAGCGTTCATGCAAGACGTCTCGAAAGTGTGTAAACAATCCAGATCAGTTTTGTTACGTGTGTGGTGATGTGACTTTTGCGTCTCAGAGACAGTCTATTACTCTACTAATAACAAAGGCATATCAGCTTTATTTCGGTTGTAAACTAGGTGATCAAGACAAACAGTGGGCACCCCACATCTGCTGCTACATGTGCTTCAAGTCTGAGGAGCTGGTTAAATGGCAAAAAACGGTCTATGCGCTTTGCTGTCCCAATGGTTTGGAGAGAGCCTACAAATCATATTAATGATTGTTACTTTTGCATGGTACCTTGTGTTGGACAAGCCACAGGTATGTCCAAGAAAAAAAAATCGGTTATTAACTACCCAAACATACCATCTGCGATGAGACCTGTGCCTCACAGTGACGAAAATCCTATTTCTAAACCCCCAGAACCCTACACTTGCGAATCAGAAAACGAATCAGATCATGGCGATCGAGTGATTCGTCAGGAAGAAGATATGCCATCAACGTCAAGAGATCCTGATTTTATACCGAGCACGTCATGCCACCAACCGCACAAAATAACAGTCAGAATTAAATGATCTTGTAAGAGATTTAGAACTTCCAAAATGTAGGGCAGAGTTACTTGGATCAAGACTGCAACAGTGGAACTTGTTAGAAGACGATGTTTCGGTATGTGTTTTTCGTAAACGCCACAAAGACTTAGAACCATTTCTCAATATGGAGAATAAATTGGTTTTCTGCAGTAACATTAACGGCTTACTGGCGGCTTTAAATATAAACTATAACCCAGAAGAATGGAGGTTGTTTATAGACAGTTCAACATTGAGTTTAAAGGCAGTGTTATTGCATATTGGAAATATTTTACCATCTCTTCCTGTAGGGTATGCAGTTCACATGAAAGAATCATATGACAATATGAAGTACCTATTGACATGCATAAAATACGATGAGCACCAATGGCATATTTGTGGCGATTTGAAAGTTGTTGCACTTTTACTTGGGCTGCAGCTAGGCTACACAAAGTTTTGCTGTTTTTTGTGTGAATGGGACAGTCGGGCAAAGGCACTTCATTACACCAGACAAAACTGGCCTGTTCGTCAATTCCTAGAGCCAGGTAAAAAAAATGTACAGCATATGCCGTTAGTAGATTCGAAAAAAAAATTATTACCACCACTGCATATCAAGTTGGACCTAATGAAAAACTTTGTCAAGGCATTAGATAGAGATGGGTCAGCTTTTCAATACCTGCGTCAGAAATTTCCAAGACTAAGTGAGGCAAAGGTTAAAGAAGGTATTTTTGTTGGGCCACAGGTTCGAAATATTTAGAAAGATACACAGTTTGAAAACACTTTAACAGGTATTGAAAAAACTGCTTGGAATGATTTCCGTCTGGTGGTCACCAATTTCTTGGGAAATAGAAAAGCTGACAACTATAAAACCCTTGTCAAAAATATGCTGTCATCGTATCAAAAGATGGGCTGTAATATGTCTCTTAAGATACATTTCCTACACTCACACCTGGACCTGTTTCCTGACAATTGCGGAGCCGTAAGTGATGAGCACGGCGAACGTTTTCATCAGGATATTTCAACAATGGAAAAAAGGTACCAGGGAAAGTGGAATCCTTCCATGCTTGCAGACTACTGTTGTCCAGTGCTATTTTACGGCCTGTAAACGCCATTTTTGACATAAAATTTAAAATATCTCAAAAACGGTTAGACTTGGATATAGGAGATTATACATGAAATGTGGTTACAATTCTATGTAGAATCCGAATATTGAGCAATATACAGGGTGTCCAATTTAAAATAAGCAAGTTGGCATAAACTTCCGGCATAACCGGAAGCGTCACCATCTTGAAAATATTTTAGCTACCGTTGCCCCATCGACATTAGTATACCCCCAAATTTTCAAAAATATCATATGCCTTCTTTTCGAGAAATCTATCGATGGAGTTCCCGACGCGACACCCTGTATAGCGTCGCGGAATGAACGGAATTTGTATGGCGGGCTTAAAACTCCAGATTATAAGAACGAAGAACAAGAGACTTCAATGCCACGTCACTACACGAACCTTTTAATTCGTTGGGTTCGGCGTTTCTGTCCAAATGGGAAATGACACCTATCAGTAATAGATATAAACACATTTCGATATACTTACATGTCCATATGCCACTGTAAAAATACAGGCAGCTATCAGAAAGGCTACCTGAAAAAAAATATATAATACAAATTTTTAAGGAGATGGATACGAACAGAAACAAAGTTTCAATAGGTTTCAGTTTCAGTTTATTGTTGCATAACTTTAAGGTTTGATAGAACTTTTAAAATTAATGCATAAAGTCTATATAAACATGGGTCGAAAAATGCGTGGCTTCCGAAATACAGGGTGTTTAAATTTACTTTCTAAAATAGTTTTTTTTAAATATTTCGAACAATATTTGATGTATAACAGTGAAAATTGGTATACAAGGGTTTTTTGGTACGACAAAACGAACCATGGGCATAGTTTTACTGTAGCCGCTAGAGGGCGCTCTCTACTGTACCTGTTGTGTATTAAAATGACAGAAAAAATTTTCTTAGTGGAATTTTTTGCTTTTTGAATAAAGAAACTGATTCTTCGCACTTTTCAACATAAAAAAGCTCTCTTGTGAATTTTCGTTACATTTAGCCGTTTTTGAGATATTTCGATTTTCAAGGTTCCATGCATTTTTAATTATTTATGATAAAATAACGTTAAGAAGTCAGTATCTCGATAATTTTTAGAAGTAGACTGTGCCTGCAAATATTTTTGGAATTCAAAGCAGAATAAGGTTAAACGTCAATTAGTTGACAGTTAGTTTTGTTGTCTGTTGAAACCTGAAACGTTTTTTTGCAATTGTGAATGCACGAAATTTAGTTTCTTTTAACTGTTTTTTTTTTGTAAGTTTTATAAAAATGCCATTTTCATTCTCCAATCAACAGTTAGCCGATATTCATTTTGAGTAAGGGTTTGTAAGTGGAAACGCAGCAGAAGCAGCCAGAGAATACGCACGAATATTTCCAAACAGACGACATCCAACTCGCTCAGTATTTGTAAGAGTGCATCGCCAAATAATTGAAAATGGTTTTGGAAATCTCAAAAGGGATCAAAATTAAAATGTTCGTCAGCGCAGATTTACCCGTATGATTCTGCGTGAGTTTGATAGAGATCCGATCACAAGTGTTAGGAGAGTTTTCGGTGCCTTGGGAATTTCAGCAAGCCATGTTCACCGTGTTTTTAGAAATGACCATAGACGTCCTTACCATTTGCAACCTGTGCAAGGACTACAGCCAGGGGACGGAGAACGAAGAATCACATTTTGTCAGTGGATTCTTGATAGAACTGATAATAATAGGGAGTTTTTAAGTAACGTTTTATGGACCGATGAGTCATGCTTCACTAGACGTGGAGTGGTAAATTTTCATAATCAACATATTTGGTCGCATGAAAATCCGCATGCAGTTCGGGAAAGAAATTTTCAGCATGAATTTAGTGTGAACGTGTGGATTGGTATCTACCGTAATCGACTATTTGGACCCTACCTTTTACCTGCAAGGTTAAATGCTGCGACCTTCTTGGAATTTTTAAAGGCTGAACATGCAAATATGTATAATGATGTTATGTTAGATTTAAGAAGCTGGGCCTGGTTCCAGCTTGATGGTTGTCCAGCTCATTATTCGAGAATAGTTAGAAACTGGCTGGACGAAAATTATCCAGAAAGATGGATCGGCCGTGGAGGACCAGTCGCCTGGCCTCCACGATCCACTGACCTAAATCCATTAGATTTCTTTGTGTGGGGATTTCTAAAAGAACAAGTGTACCAGACTCCCGTAACCACAAGAGATATGATAATAGACAGAATCAGGAAGGCATGTGATGAAATAAGGCCTTATTTGAATAATGCTATACCACGTTCGATCATTCGTAAATGTGAATTGTGTATTGAACAATTGGGTTTACATTTCGAGCAACTACTTTAGATTTTGTATGTTTGTCCTAACTATCCAATAGTATTTTAGTTGTAAATAATTAATTCAATTTGTTAAAAATAATATTGGAAAATTAAACAAATTAATATTCTATTTTTTGTGTTTACTTGGAGTTAGGAATTATTGCTGTGTTTAAAAACACAATCTAAACGATCATTTTAATTACTTGTAATGCCCAAATCGAAAATGTAAAAAAAAATATTATTTTCCCATAAATAATTAAAAATGCATCGAACCTTAAAAATCGAAATATCTCAAAAACGGCTAACCATAACGAAAACTCACAGGAGAGCTTTTTTATGTTGAAAAGTGCGAAAAATCAGTTTTTTTATTCAAAAAGCAAAAAATTGCACTAAGAAAAATTTTTCGGTCATTTTAATACACTACAGGTACAGTAGAGAGCGCCCTCTAGCGGCTACAGTAAAACTATGCCCATGGTTCGTTTTGTCGTACCAAAAAGCCCTTGTATACCAATTTTCACTGTTATACATCAAATATTGTTAGAAATATTTTAAAAAAACTATTTTAGAAAGTAAATTTAAACACCCTGTATTTCGGAAGCCACGCATTTTTCGACCCATGTTTATATAAACTTTATGCATTAATTTTAAAAGTTCTATCGAATCTTAAAGTTATGCAACAATAAACTGAAACACCCTGTATATGATTAAATAACCAATAAAAACAAATACATTTTTTTAATTTTGTACACACAAATTAGTTCAAGTTCCAAGTACGACTAAAAATATCACAACAAAATATCCAATTTCGAATTTTTGAAAACGTATGGTGTAATAAAATATTACATGCTTAAAAATTTTAGATTTTGAATCTTAAACTTTGTTAACCCGATTATTGAACTGCCTAAGCTTAGTAGAACGGGGAAAAGCCTTCTGTTGTAGATTGTTCCACAATCTCGACACCGCAGGGACAAAGGAGCGGTCGTATCGGCCAGTTGTGTATGTACGAAGTTAGGCGCGGAAATTAGGACTCGAAGATCCTTGCTACTAAGCGATTTTAAAAAGTATCAAGCATTGCTAACTACACCGTATGACATTACTACGAAAGTAAGGAAAGGAAAGGGCTACTACTTTGTTCATTTTGCACAGCTTAGGTTCCTACAAATTCGCAGCTATAAAAATTATATCTAAAAAATGATTTCTAGGAATCGCCAGACAAATATGTGGAATTATTAGAATCCGATTAAACGTAACATAGTACTTACAAATATCTGTTGCATGTTGTATCTTTGGTAAAGGGCACTTTGGCAGCTAACACTTTCAGTGTGGAACTGATATGTGATTGCTATTGACACAGTCTATTTATATAGGAAAATAGCCGTTGAATTTTGGTACGAAACGGTGCAATAATGTGTTATATAAATATTAGAAGAAACACTCATGCATGTAGATTTGCATAAATGGACCTATAAAAAACGCTCGATATACTTTCTATATCTAGATCACAATGGCTATGTGAGTATATGGGACTTTGAAAATTTTACGTTTTTCCAACAATGTACTGGTCTGAGGAACAGTAGAATCCACTAATAGTCTAATCATATTAGCATATTTCCCCAAAATAATTGTAAAGTCTGGTCTTTTTGATGCAAGTTGTATTTGAAACATTTAAATTTAAATTTATTCAAAGTTTATTCAAATTCAAAAACCAATATAACTTACAAATTAAAAACAACCTTCAGTACAATCTAAATAAAAAAACCTTCAAAAATACATGAGCTTGTATGCTCTTGCTACCCTGAATAACCAAGATTGCAACAGAAATCTGAGCAAAGATGCTAGCATCAGATCTAGAACCAGCAAGTAACGGTATATGAATTGTGAAAATTCTGTATACTTTCGTAAAGGGTAAATGTCTGGATCTTGTCGTCACAAATCCTAAATTACGTTTCTGCATAAACAAATCTAAAATTCACAACAATAGTACAGAAGCATACTAAAAACACTCAGAAGTATAAATATAGAGTACATAAAATATGAATATCTGAAATATGATAATAGAGGGATATTTCGAGTAAGGTCAAACTATGTTGTTTAAACAATAAAAATTTTGCGTAAAGGTTAAGCAGAGAAACAAGAGTACTACAATTTACTACAAAAAAATTTACTATAAAATAATAGACACCTAAGCTATAAGCTTGTGTGTGTCATACAATATACAAATTCAATGCATGGCTAATGGTCATAAGGTATATTATGAGCAAATGTAGGTATATAAAAAAAGGAAATAAAAAACATTAGATAGAAACGAAATTACTGAGTTGAGTCAAGCTACCGTCGATGCAAGCATGTCAAAGTTATTTACGATGAACTTCTTAATTCTTTTTTTCTATGCTTCGAGAGGATTTTATATTCTAGGGGTAATTTATTATACAACCTAATACCATCAAACTTTATGCATTTTTGGCAAACAGATTTATTCACTCTGGTATAGGTGTAACTTATATTTATTTTAGTTCTTGTTTCATAATCGTGGCTGGTTGGAACATTGTTTCGGGAGTGAACAAATTTTAGAGCAGCAAAAATATATAAACCTCTAACATTCAAAAGATCATTTTCAATGTAAACAAATCTGCAACTTGACCGACATGGGATACGAAAAATAGTCCTGACAATATAATTTTGCGTGGTTTGTAGTATTTTTAAAGTACTAGTGTATGCGGCTCCCCAAATACTTATCCCGTAAGTTAGTAGAGACCCCACAAACGAGTTATATATTGAGAGGAGACTCTTTCTGCTTAAAATATTCCTAAGAATGAAAAACTTATGAATAATTCTCCTTAATTTCGATGCCAAAAGCTCGGCATGACTCTGCCATTTTAAATTACTGTCAACAATGATTCCTAAGTATCTAATAACTTCAACTCTTTCGACAGTGTCAGCACTATCATTTATAATTAATGTTCGGTGGTGTAATGGCATGCCTGCTTTGGTTGGAGAAAACGTTACATACTTAGTTTTAGAGATATTAAGTTTAAGTAAATTGTTATCCAACCAGCATTTGACTTTATTTAATGACAACTCGTCATTCCGTATTGCGTCATCCCATGAATGACCAGTGCAAACTAAAACAGTATCGTCTGCATATGATATCATCTTACAGTTGAAATTACATCGAAGTAGTTCATTTATGTATATGAGGAACAGTGTTGGTCCCAAAACTGTCCCCTGAGGCACACCTATTTTGATCTTTTGAATGTTGCTTAAATCTGACCCTACCTTGACTTGTTGTAATCGATCAGCCAAATAGTTCTCAAATAAGTTCAGAACTCCACTACGCACTCCAACACTTTCTAGTTTCTTTAATAAAATTGTATGAGATACTGAATCGAAAGCCTTTTGAAGATCTAGGAAAACTGCAACAGTCTTATTTCCATCTTGAAAATTTTCAAGCACTTGTCCTGTAAGTTCTTGTAGAGATTGCTCTGTATTGCAATTTTTGCGGAACCCAAATTGACAGTTCGATATTATGTCATATTTCTCAAGAAAAGAACAAAGTCTGTTATTCAAACACTTCTCAAAAATCTTCCCAAATACATTGATAACCGAAATAGGTCTATAATTGAACATATTGTCTTTACTTCCAGATTTAAATATTGGTGTCACTATGCTTTCTTTAACATGGAAGGATAAAATGTGTACACCAATTTTTGTGGGAAAACTTTTTATTCGGCGACCAAGAATGAGAAAACGTGTTTTTTGGGATTCAATCGAAAGTATTGGCAGGAACGAAAAAACTCTTCAAATAAGATACTTAGGTATTTATGAGACCCACGCAAGTTTTCGCACTTGTTGGCAATGCGACGATAGTTTCTCGCAGATACTTGAAATTATTATTATAATCAAATGCCTAATGATTTGAAAATCCTCAAACTCTTCAAATAAGATTTTTAGGCAGTGGCGTAGCTAGAAGTGATGGGGCCCCGGGGCAAACAATTTTTGGGGACCCTCATGAGTATGTTTAAGAATAAAAAATATCATGTAATAATAAAAAAATTGTTTATTGTCATAAAAACAAAAAGTAACACAAATTAAAATAATGAAATAACAAAAGTCAAAAATTAAGCAATAATAAAATTAAAAATCAGTTTTTCTTGCTTTTCTATTTGCAAATTCGTTGTTCACTTTTATCTTCTCTCCAGTTCAATATAAATAGTAGTTGTACAACCGATAAGTTTAAAACCATCAAAATTTTAAACCACGATGCTCTTAACCAAGCCCTGTCTGAAGTCAACTGGCCTGCTTTGCTTAACAACCGTAGCACCCAAGATATGTGGGACACTTTCGCTCAACGAGTCCTAAGCGAAACGGCTGACAATACTGTTGAAAAGAAGGTATACTGTGACCCCTCAAAGCCCTGGATCAACTCTAACATATCGAGGATGCTTCGTCACAAGAGATCTTTGTGGCAACGGTTTAGGAGGAGTGGCCATTCACAAGATTACGTGTCTCATCGATCCTTTTCTAACCTACTATCTGGAACGTTACATAATGCCAAACATGCTTATGAACGAAAACTCGTTACCTCCAAAAATAAGAAGAAGCTGTTTCGGTATCTACGAACAAACCTGAATTCCAAAGTTTCATCACCTCAGATCCGCGACGCTGACGGTCATCTCCACATGGATGCCACCGAATCGGCCAACTTACTGGCAGAGTCCTTTAGTGATGACTTCGTCGATGAGCCTAATGGAGACCTTCTACCGACCACTATCTGCCATAGGTGCCCCAACAGCCTTTGCGAAGTTGAGTTTCTGCCTGAAGATGTATTAATGCACCTGCGAAATCTGAAGACCTCTTCCTCCCCTGGTAAAGATGGGATGACGGCTGCTGTACTTAAAAACTGCGCTTCAGCACTGGCCCTACCATTAAGCTTGATATTCACATCGTCTTTTAGATCTCATACCCTACCCTCATGCTGGCTTAGTGCTTCTGTTACCCCTGTATTCAAAAAGGGCGACAAATCCTCCGCTAAAAATTATCGACCAATAAGTCTCGTTCCTATCGCCGCCAAAATAGCTGAAAGAATCATATTAGATAAGCTCCTGTCATTTGCTTTCGAAAATGACCTTATCCCTAAGACTCAGCATGGATTTCTCCCTGGTCGATCAATAATGACCAACCTTCTCCACTCTCTCAACGATTGGACTCAGTATCTGGACACAAAGACTCCTGTTGATATAATCTACTTATATTTTTCTAGGGCTTTGGATCGCGTACCACATAGAAGGCTTCTGTTTAATTTTTTTATTTTTTTCTATTTGATGTATTTGTGTTACGTGTCCGTACACTATATTTACTGCATGAGCTTATAGTACTGTATACTCTGCTCATCTCAATTATCATAATAATAATAATAATAATAATAATAATAATATCATTTATATCAAGGTTTTGGGCTTCTTCATTCTCTATAGAGAGTAAAGCAAGATCGCTTAATCTAATCCGGCCTGTAGTAGACCTAAGATAGTTTTTTACAAGTTTTAGCTTGTTAAATGATCTTTCGACAAATGCAGTAGTTACAGGCAACGTAAAAAATAAAAGGAACATTAAGTAAACTTCACTTAAGTTGCTTTCAAGTACCCCATACTTACTTAAAATTATATTGATATATTCCTTAATTGATAGATCATTCTTAAGGTCTCTTTTACAAACATTTAACAAATTGGTATACTGAAATATTAAATTATTTAAATCGAATATTTCAGGATATTTGTTATAAATGGCTGTACATTTATTTTTAATGGATGTTTCATCGCAACTTAATATAATTTTTGGAAGGAGTAAATCAAACAATTTATTAATTTTTTTCATGCCCCTAAATCTATTAGAAATCTGTGTCAGAACATGGTTCATAACAACATTTAAAACATTTATTTTAAATAAAATTTGAGTATTATTAAATCTGTAATCAGTTCGTCAAAGTGTTTTTTAACTTTAGGTTGACGTTTTTGCCTGAATTCCGGTTGAATATTCCATTTGTTAGCCAGTTCCGTAGCTTCAATCATTAAAATTCCCTAAGAAGATCTTAAGTCCGTAAGGTTCTTTTCTACTTGTTCTAAAACAGTGACAGATTCACTTAAATCAATATTTTTCTTTTGAAGGACCTTTGAGGCGAAGTTAACCTGGGTAAAGATTTTATACAACATTGTTGAAATAAATACAAATTCAAAGCAACACATTTGTTTTTTAATGGAAGAAGCTTCTTCTCTTTCTTTTTTATGAGACTGTAACTCTATTTCTGTTAAAGATTTAATAATATC